AAAAGAAACTGGGTCTCAAACTCAGCTCTAAATTTAAACTCTTAACTACTACCTTCTAACCCTATAAATGTTGTATCTTCAATGTCTCTGCTGGCACTTTTTCCCTCAGAATACAATATGAACATTCTCAAGGCTTTTTGGTGTAAAGAAATGCCCCTTCAATCCTACATCAGATTTTTTGGCTTATAGTCAGGTTACTTGAAAGAGTGAGCATTCTGTACTTAGTCTTCAATTTCTCAGCTTCCATTATATCTTGTATCCATGGCAATCTGAGTTGCACAGAGCACTCCACTGACAATGTTCTAACTAAATCACCAATGACTTCCAGATTGTCAAATAAAGAGACATTATCTTACTTGATCTCTACAGCATTTCTTAACTAATTCCTTTCTCTATTTTCTCCATTTCTGGCTTCTGTAAAGAACTATTCTTGGTTTTCCTGCTATGTCTCTGAGCACTCCTTAATATGTTTGGCCAGCCCTTCTTTCTCTATATTTTGGGTTTTCCCATACTCCTGCTCATTCCATCACCTACTTTTCAATAACCTCATCCATATATGAGATTTCAACTGTAGTACATTCCACTGGTTACCCTCAAGTGTCTGTCTTCAACCTAGACATCTCTGGCACTCCAGGCACGTGTACCCAGCCATGTACTGAACGTCTCATTTCACAGCTCCTCAAGCTCAACAAGTTCGAATCAGAGCCCCATCTTACCTTCCAAATTGCTTAATCCCCTCATATACATGTGAATGGTCCCACTGTTACTTTATTACTCAAAAATTTGGACCTTATCCTTGACTCTCCCTCTTCCTTATCACCCACATTCCATTGGTCTCCACGTGCTACCAATTCTACTTCCTATTTGTTCAGACATCCCCTCATCTCTATTCCCACTACCTTTGCCTTATAAAGGCCTTCACCATTTTTTCCCCTAGTTGCTGTTATAGCCTCTTTTTCCCTCCTGTCTCAAGTCTCATTTTGCTCCAATATAACCTCCATATTTTTGTCAGAACAATCTGTATACTCCCTATAGCTTTCACCATAAAGGATAAATTCCTTGTGTTGGCATATCAGGCCTTCCTATGTGATTTGTCAGTTTCCAACATCTCTAGCCATTCCTCTTCCCAATCACCCTCTCTCTCATTATTTAGAACTATTTGTAAATCTCTGAACATGTCATTTGGTTTTTAAAAACAGTTCCACATGGGTTAAAAACATGCTGGTCTCAAACACATTAGTCACAGGTGAAGCAGGGCTTCGCAGGGTGAACAGACAGTGCTGATGGCATAAATCTGGCATGAAAAGGGTTTTCCCACATTATGTATGAATCACAGATTTGCATCCACGAGAGGCGCTCAAGTAGAGAAGCATGGGCAATGATTAATGGACATAACAGCTTGACTGAACTGACAGTGTCATTGGTCCCCATGACATGTTGGGGATGGGAGGATCTAGGTGGGCCTTAGGTCTGGTGGGGAACTGGGTCTAGAGGGCTAGGCTTGGGTCACAAAGCTATGCAACATCACTAAGTCTCACTTTAGCCCAGAGGTAGGCACTTGTCACTCTGAGCTTTACTGGAACATAGAATGATGCTTATTTCCCAGGAGGTGCAAAATATATCAGGAGCTGTTGAAGTCCAGAGGTGAAATAAGCAGTTCCTTTGCAAACCATTCACCACCTTTGTGATTTTTCTTTTCTTTGACCACTTGTAGGCAGTGATGTTTCAGCAGATTGGAAGGGAAGCAGCACAGCCAACATCTGTGAGGCACCAAGAGCATTCTTCACATGGCCTGTCCTCGAAGTAAGCCTGATCGATTCAGAAAGACTAGGCATTCAGGAGCTGTGCTAGTTATCATGCAGAACTCCTCTCACTCTATGCTATTCAGTAACTATCCCAAAGACTAGCTAGTTTTGATCCATTAAAAATGACAGGATTGGGGGAGGAGCCAAGATGGCGGATAAGACAAGCCGCCAGTCAGAAGGTCTCTGCAAAAAAGATGAATTTTAGAAGAAAGAGAAAAAAAATAAGCAAGCAGAGAAACATAGATCGGGTGAGGGTCGGAAAGAAGGGTGTCTGAAACTACAGGAGACTCCACGGGAAGACGTTGCGGAGGAGAACTGGAAGGAGAGAGGTCCCGAGAGGCTTGGAGACCAGCAACAAGGGTAGGTGGAGCGGTTAACTTCCCCCTCCCTTGCATCTCCGACTGCTGGTGGCTCCTGAGAGGCTGGAGAGACCTGCCGACACCAGCCCAGAGACGGCTGCCACCAGTGAGCAGTGGCCTCCTGTGGACTCAGCTCCGGGCTCCCAGCCCCCTCGGGGAACCTCCCCGGGCGCAGACCCGAGCCTAGCGGCAGACGCCATAGTGCTCCGTTCTCTCCTTCCCCCTCCCTACCCGTG